GCAAATTGTCCCTAGAATAATTTACGGTGGCTAATTTTTTTTCTTTAAAAAGAAAAACTAAACTTTGTTGCATATGAACAAGATATGATTTGGGGCCAATGATGGGCCTCATTATCTCCCAATCAAGTTAAAAAAAAACGAATTCTTTTGGGTTCATCTGGGAAATGTTCAGTTTGGCTTTGGTTTGGGCCGTTTGACTTTTTAATGAAAAAACTTTTTCAAAGAAATTATGGCAAAACTACCGATCAAGGTATTCTATTAATAAAATTTACTACAGTGTACTGATTATGTAGAGTTACAAGTTCCAACTAGGAGAGTTCGTTTCAACTTGGGAATTACTAGTTTCTTGTGTCAAAGTTAGTGTTTATGAACTAGAGTAGGTATATTGTACGTGTCGGTGCCCAAGTCTCCCTTTGAGAAACTTGCAAACGAGATTTTAACCTTTTGAATTGAGGCTCAATATCTAATTCATCTTTTAAGTTTTTAAATTATTTTAAATAATTGTCTGTTTAAATCAATGTTTTCCATTATCGAATTGGTTTGGTAATTCAATCACAAGTACTAATTTGTAAATACAAGAACATGATCTTTTTTAACTTACAATGATACAAGAGATATAAGATAAACAATCTAGTATAAAGAGTAGATTGGTATATATAACGCTAAAACAGCAATGATTTTTCACAATTAATTGGTATTACAAAAGACCATGACGAAAATTCTCTTCTGCCAAAACATCTACTTCGAAAATTTACATATAGTTAATCACTCACTATGGTTCTCAACCTTTAATCTGGCCTCATAACCAGCAGCGACAAGAAGTTCAAAAATATGGTGAAGACATCAGATTCCAAAGTTTTGTCCTAACATTTACTTGAGTTTCTTAGTTACTAGTAGTAAACTCCCAAATGGCTTTCTTAGGTTTTTGTGGTGTCTATCAAAGGATTATTGAACAATTACCGTTACCAAGAGGGCAACTTGATCGCGATACGGCTAATCGTGCTGTGGATGAATATTATCTGGTCCCACGGAGTTTAGTAGAATTCATAAATAAGATACATTCACATTTACATATGAGATAACTCTGTGTTATAGCTATATAAAACAAGGGATCTAACTCAAAGTCGAAGGTTAAAAAATAGGTTCAATGGACCAATCTATTGGACAAGATGGGTGGTGGATTTTCTCTTATCTCCTTATATCAAGAGTCTCCTTGTGTAAGTTTGATTTGTTTATATATAATAAGACATTTAAACAGGAAAAATGAAGCCAAATCTATAGGAGAGCCCCCCTATGATTTGGGGTTTAAGAGTTAAGACCACTCGATGATGCAAATTGTTTGATTTGGACTTTGGAAAAATTGGACTCGCCATATCTTCTTCTTGACCCTAAACTATATGATACATTTAAAGACAAAAGTGTAGTCCAAGATTGTGTCTTCCTTTCTCGATCAGTCTTTTTACCTTGTGAGTTCGATCTCTTCTTACCAA